GTAAATCTCTTCTGAACTACCCTAATGCATTTACATCTTGCCTTAAATAAGCAGACCGAGCTGTACACAGTATTTGAGATGACCCTGATTTAGGGCCAACTCTGAAAAATTTAACCTAAAGGGTGTGACTGTTTTCTGGAACAAAGTATCCAGGTAGTGTTGCCCCTCACTGAGGTATCTTAGCATCTCTGATTCCAATCCATTAATTCTAAGCTGAAGTTCCTGGAGCAGCAGACACTTACTACAGATGTGGTTGCTGTCGATCAGGCAGGTTTCCACCATCCCCCACATGCTACAGCTGCAACACATCATCTGCCTTGCCATCTATGTTTTATTTTGTTTAGTTTATTAATCTTTCAAGCTTTAAAATGTCACTCATTGGTTATTTGTAGTTTTATTAAGTAGCTTAACTGATTTAACAGTAAATTTAATCCTGCAGTTCTAGCTCCCTGATGTGAATGTGCCCAAGCATTGAGAGAGCTGTAAAACTCAGCAGTCACCAACCTGCTCATTATTTTCTCTGGACTTTAGCATTCAGGGGCCAGTTTAGTATAGTGTGAACAGAGGAGGTGGCAGAATCTACCATGGTATCCTGCTATATATTAATGATCAAGATCTTGGTGTGTAGGAGACCTTTACAAAGTTTTGCTAAGTTACAAGACTTGGAATGTTTGAAAACTGTGAGGAGGACAGTGCAGTACACAAACAAGCTGATGGAGTGAGTGGATAGATGGCAGATGGGGTCCAGTGCAGAGAAATGTGAGATTATGCTTTTTGGTAGGAAGATCATGGATGGATGGTACAAAATACAAAAGGTGGTACAAGAGTAGAAAGACCTGGGTGTATATGTGCACAGATCATTGAAGGACAGGAGTAGAGAGATGTTATTAAAGCACTTGGTATCCTGGACTTTATCAATGGGGGCACGAAACTCAAGAGCAGACAGGTTATGCTGAACTTATATATGACACATATTAGAGCTCAGCTGAAGCATTGTGCACAGCTCTGGGTGCAATATTGTAGGAAGGATGTGAATACATTGGAGAGAGAGTGTAGAAGAGATTTACAAGACTGGTTCCAGGGCTGAGAAACTTCGGTTATGAGGATGATTGAAGAGATTGGGTCTTATAGAGAAGAAGGTGAAGAGGACATCCGATTGAAGTTTCCAAAATTGTAAGGCAACAAGTTGGAGTCAATAGGGAGAGAGTGTTCCCATAAGTAACGAGATCAAGAATATGAAGGCACAGATTTAAAGTGATTTTCAAACAAAAAGCAAATACAAGGTAGAAAAACCTTTTTCAAACAGTGAATGGTTCGGGTCAGTAAGTTACTGCCTGAAAGTGTGGCGGACAGAGGTTCAATTGAAACATTCGAGATGGCATTGGATGGTTATTTAAATAGGACTGATGGGAAAAGGTGGGTCATGGTGCTGATTTGTAAAGCTAGTGCAGACATGATGGGCCAAATGGCTTCCTTTGGTGCCATAACACTGCTGTGATGGCGTTATGCTTGGAAAGGGACAGCAGGGTTTTGAAGAAAGATCAAGGTTAAAGCGGATGGGAGATCAGAAGTGGCCAGGAGCAACATTGATTCAGAGAGTGGGTGAGAGTATTCACAGCAGCTGAATTGAAGTAGGAACGGAAACAAGACAGGGTTATGGAAAGTGGATATCTGTTGTCTTGGCAACGGACAGGACGTGATGTTGGAATTCACATTGATGTAACACCTTTCATGACTCCAACACAGTCCACAGTAAAGTAAATATCATTTAAGCAGAATCAATGTAGTGGGAAAATGACAGAACATTTGCACGGTGCAAAGTCCATGGTGGAATGAGTAATGAATAATCTACCTTTTGTGAATTTGCTTAAATGAAAGGTATTGGGCAGGACACTCAGATGACTCCTGATCATTTTCAAAAAATGTGCACGAAATCATTTTATCCCCCTCAATTTAACAGCCATCTGAAAACTGCACTTCTGACCATGCAGCACTCCCTCAGCATTTCAGCTGAGCTTACTGATACTTAAATCCTGGAGTTGGCTGGGATCTGTGATCCTCTGACTCAGAGGAACAAAATGCGGCTGTAAACCAAAGCTAACATCGAAATATATTCATTACTGCGTATAAAGAAGAACTCAGTGCAAAATGTGTCTTTTACTGGTTTGCTTTTGAACTTCCTTGTTTATCTGGAAGAATTTAATAAGAAGCATTTTTCAAATGTAGTGTTTGCTTTTTGTTAACTATCTTGTAACCATCTGTAAGATCATTCTCACAAGTCTACTGGTGACCATGATAACTATCACTGACTGATGTGAAAACCCATCTGAGTCACTAATGCCCTTTTGAAGGGTGAAATGTACCATCCTTCCCCTGTCCAGCGTACAATTGATTCCATGCAGACGACAAGATAGCTGACGTTTAACTGCCCTCTGAAATGGATGAGCAAGTCAGTCAGGTCAGGGGCATTAGGGGCTGACTTTGTTGCCAACACCCACATCTCACAAGAGAATAAACTAAGAGAGAGAGCTCAGATAGCTCTCAACATGTTTCCTGTGCACCAACTTTGTCCATGGTCTAATTGAATGCTGCAAACAGACTCGAGAGGCTCTGAGTCTGCTCCTGAGGGTCTCTCCATTCTTGTTTAGCAGCTCATAGTTTTACCTGCCCCTCAGCAGCAGTAAGTAGATACAGTGACACACATAGAAGCTGGTTGCGTGGAGCCTCCTCTCAGGTGATCCACTTCACGGTGTTAAACATGGTAGGACATAAGAACATAAGAAATAGGCGCAGGAGCAGGCCATCTGGCTCCTCGAGCATGCTCTACCATTCAATAAGATCACAGCTCATCGTTGTCGTGGACTTAGCCACACTTACCCATTTGCTCACCATAACCCTTAATTCCTTTACTGTTCAAAAATGTATCTATCTTTGCCTTAAAAACATTCAATGAAATAGCCTCACCTGCTTCACTGAGCAGGGAATTCCACAGATTCACTCTTTTGGGAGAAAAGGTTCCTCCTCAGCTGAGTCCTAAATCTGCTCCTCCTCGTTTTGAGGCTATGCCCCCTAGTACTAGTTTCATCCACCAGTGGAAACAACCTCCGTGCGTCGATCTTATCTATTCCTTTCATAATTTTACATGTTTCTATAAGATCACTCCCTCAATTCTTCTAAATTCCAAAGAGTATAATCCAAGTCTACTCAATCTCTCCTCATAAGTTAACCCTCTCAACTCCGGAATCAACCTAGTGAACCTCCTCTGCATTCCCTCCAGTGCTAGTACATTCTTTCTCAAGGACGATGAGGGCCCACAGCATCACACTGAGCTTCCCTGTCTCCTTCATCACCCTTCCTTTACCCCTACCTTTGGCAGCTTCATGGTAAGTTTCCGTTCTCTGAAATAAACAACCTCCAACTCCTCCTCCTCCTTATTTTTCAGCTTATAGCCCATTATTCCCCATCCTCGCTGAAGGATCCTGGGTTGTTTTCTATGTTAAAGCACTCAGTGTGTGAGTTTTTGCAGGGATATCGTGTCCATTTACTCAGTATTCCTCTGTGCTTTCAGCTGATCTCATGACAGAATGTGTCTCGTGTATTTTGAGAATTGGTGCCCTGCCAAACATGTTAATTTAGCTAAAGTACAGAGCAAACGCTGATGTATGACCTCACATCAACTTTGGAAACCAGAGTAACAATCCCTTCGATCTTGCACTCTCTCAATAATGTCACTATTTTAGCACCAATTATACTGTGGATTCACAAATATTAAGTAAAGTTGAAATTGTCCCAGACAGTAATTTAACTAATTTCTTTTTCCTTTATTCTCTAATGGGATGTGGGCTTGGCAGGCAAGTCCAGTATATGTTGTTCACACCTCAATACCCTTTAACTGAGTGACTCGCTGGGCCATTTCAGAGGTTGATTAAGAGGCAATTACATTGTTATGGTTCTGCAGTCACATTAGGGCAAAGACCAGTTTGGGTACCAGGAGGTGGTCATTTGGTGGATGACTGGAGCAAGCTGGAAGTGGGTGTGAGACAATGCCCCAGGCAGATATAAAAGCCCGCTACCTGCCTGCTTGGGTACAACATGGCTGCCCAGTGGAGAAAGTGCCCTCTCTCTCACCTAACTGCAGTTGTGCCACACTGTTGTGCTCAAGCTGCAAGGATTGTGAATGGCTTGCAAGCTTTCAGAGTCCACCCTCTAGCTGTGAGGTGACTAATTCCAGGAAAATCACAAAAAGTGAGACTCTTTTCCATCCAGTACAAACTTCAGACCCCCATCTGAGCCTGACAGTGGGATTCAGAAGGCCACAGGAAAAATCCTGTCTTAAACAGGGAGAGAAAGGGAGAGAGGAGGACGTAGAAGTAGAGATGTCATTCCATATTGTAACCCCAGGACTATGGGCTGGGGATCAGAATGCCTGACAAGGAAAGGTATCTGCTTGGCTGGGAGTAATCTTCACCTTACTTTTCAATGGGTGGAGGTGTTGGAGTGTGGAATTCTTTATCACTGACAGCTGTCAAGACTGAGTCATTAATTATATTCAGGGCTGAGGCAGACAGGTTTTCAATCAGTCAGGGAATCAAGGGTTAAGGGATGAGGAAGGAAAATGGAGTTGAAGATTATCAGATCAGCCATGATCTCATTGAATAGCAGAGCAGACTCGATGGGCTAAATGGCCTACTTCTGCTCCTATTTCTGACGGGGTGAACAATAAGGGGTGAACCTGGATTATCTCGATGAGACTGCCTTCAGCAACTCAACTCCAACAGAACAATATGCACGTTTTCAACTGACTGGCAGTACAACCCAAATCATGCAACTCAGTTTCCAAAACAGTTCTAATGAGCGAGAGGTGGAGAGGTGTAGGTCTAGAGTGAGTACTGCAATGAAGAAATGAACTGAAACTCGATTCCACTTAAAATGATCTGAGGTGTGTGAGCAGGCCAGCTGTTGTCATTTGTGCCTTGAATGATGTCTCTTTCTCTCGACAGGTATGGTCTAGCCCTGGCGAATGGCCATGTGTGCCCATTGTACAACTGGTAGGTTGCCATTTTTTTAATGTTATAATGAGGGGAGTAATTTGAAACAAAGGCCAGCTTGACTACAGTTGCTGCAACTGCCTGATGTCCTCTGTGCCCTGTTCTTAGGGTAATGCTGACCTCAGATACCAAGATATCCACTGAATTCTGAGAGCCCCGGTTATTGAAAACTACACCCACGGGGTTTGTTTTCTGAAGAAGGGTCTCGACCCAAAACATCAGCTTTCCTGCTCCTCTGATGCTGCCTGGCCTGCTGTGTTCCTCCAGCTCCACCTGTGTTAACCCACAGGGAGCTGCTCGATTGTGCCATGTCAAGATTTTTGGGTAGAAGGTGTTGGAATACGAAAAGGCAAAGGCGATGCCTTCACGTAGCCTTGGTCCCACCATGTGAAGTTATTGGGACAAAAAAACAGCCAAGGTGATCCAGAATTAAAATTACTCGAGCGGAGGTGGTTTACTTGTGTTAAACAGCTTCTACAGACTTCCTCTGCTGGTACAAATGACTACAGTAACTTCAAGTGAACAAAATGAATTTTTCAAAACATTATACAGAACCCTCTTCGGTGCTGTGCTCCGTTTTGAGGTTCACACCTTAGGAAGGGTGCATTGAATTTGAGGAGGGGACAGAAGGCAGGTTTAAGTTCTGTGGGCTGGCTGAATAAACTTGGCTTGTATTCCTCAGTATAGAAATTTGACAGGTGATCCCATCAAACTACTTAAATGATAGATTGGGAAAATCATTTTCCCTGGTTGGGATTCCTGGGCAAAGGGGGCACAAGCGTAAAGGTAGAAGTGGATGGTTCCAGAAAGACACCTTTTGCTCAAAGGATAATTGAAATCTGGAACTCTATCTCCCAAAGGGCTCTAGATACTGGGAACGTTGATAGTTTGAAGTTCAGATAGATAGGTGTTTTGCTGGGTAAGGGAATCAAAGAATATCAATCAAATTGATTAATGCTGATAAGGTGTGGGCCAGTATGATCTAAATGAATGGTCGAAAAGGTTGATGAATTGAATGGCCTACTCCTGCTCCTAATGTTCCTTGGATGTAAAATTAGATTGGAGATGGATCTAATGAGATTGGTTATTCCTTTAAACCAATTTCAGAGCTAAATGTTTATCATTCTTGGTTAGATCTGAACAGCTTAAAAACTGGAATTAAAACAGAGAATGCTGGAGAAACTCAGCAGGCTCTGGCAGCATCTGTGGAGGGAGAATCAGAGTTAACATTTCGAGACCAACGACTCTTCTTCAGAACTGAAGAGAAGTGGAAATGGTGTATGTTTAAGCTGTTGAAATCCGGGGGAGAAGCAAGTGAAGGCAGGAGAAGGATTGAGGGTGAGAGGGATTGTGGATCAATCATGTCAGCAGACAAAAGACAAAGGAGGTAGTAGTGGTTGTGGAGAAAAGCATGGCGTTGGTCAAGGGCAGTTGCTGAGTTTCTCTACCATTTCATGTGTTATTTTTTAATTTCAGCTGAACAACATCCTCAGTGTTCCATTTTTCTGTTTGGCTTGTTTGAATGTTTGTCATGGTGAAATGAGTGTGTTTGATGTGGAACGTGCTGTTTGAGTCAATGTCTGGTCTTTGTCCTGCAGGGTGTACAATCATTCCTGTTCTCCTGATGCCTCGGTGAGATGTTGCTCTATTCAAAACATGCCCTTCGTAAGGTAAGCTGACAGTCTGAGTGGTGACACCATGTGTAGGCTTGACACAACAAGAGGATACGTTCTCAGTAACTGCGCTTTGGCGGAAGAGATTGCGGTTTGATTTGATGGAGGGGTTTAAAAATATATGATGGAAACTGATGAGATAGGCTTATATAAATATGTGGATAAGCCTCTGAGGTGAGTTATGATATCGCTGTGACTTCAGCAGTTGTGATTTTGTGCTTGACTCAGATCTGTTGAGAGCTTGGAGCATGTAGTTCTATAACCCTGCCATCTGCAATAGCCAGTTACGAGGAAGTTTGTCATGAGCTAGGCTCTCAAATTTAACCTCCTTTCCCACCATGCGGAAGATTGAAACACCCCCTTGCTTCCCCTCTGAGTTGGAACCCTTTTCCAGTTGAGCTGATCAGTTCGCTGCTCACAAACCTATATTGAGTTTGGTTTATTTCTGCCATAACTGGGATGAAGGCCTGGATTGTCTCCCCAGGGGCATGGAACACAGGTTGGATCTGTTTTTGGGACCCGCACCCACCCATGAGAAAGGGAAACAGGAATGGTTGGGATTTTGACAGAATTGCCCTCTGAGGAAGGATGTAATGGGAAATATGAGACCGGGTGCTTCATGGTCTCCAACTTTCTAAAATCCTGCATCAAAACATGGCCTGACCTGGATGGAGGTGGTGGGGGGTGTCACAGCCCCTATAGGGACCTGTGGGATCACTTCTGCAGCCGGGCAAAGGGGCTTCTAAGGGCTACTGGGTGCCCATCACAAAGGGAACCTGGAGGTCAACTGGACAATCTTAACAGGCTCAGATTGGTTTCTGAATGAATTGGCCTCACCTCTTGTACAGGGGGACAGCCCCACAATATCCCCTCCCCTGTGCCACCTCTTCAAGATAGCCAAGGAGCGAGATGAGACTGGAGAGCTGGGTATACAGACTGGCAGGACTCTAGCTAAAGGCCGGCCACAGCATCTTTCTTTGGTGGGGTCACAAGAGGAGGCCAAATCAGTCTCACTCTGATTGTTCTGCATATTGACCCTCCACAAAGTGGAGTGCTTGTACTAATGGGGGTGTATGGATATTTGGAGTTGTTACTGAGATCCACTGGTGCTGCAGTTGTGTCAGCGTCGAATCAATTTAAGGTTGCCAATTTTGGCTGGACACGTTCTTGAAGGCTTTATCACATGATCTCCTGCCACATGGCCAATATTTTTTCAAGTCATAACATTGAAAGCAAGATGGAGGAAAATGAAAGTTAATACCTCTCCGACTTTTCTCGCCCGGTGGAAGTGTCCACGAAATGTATTTAGAATTCCTGAAGACCCCAGGGCAATCCTGGGGGGAATTTGGCATCTAAGATCTAAGCACTGGGGGCACATTTCTTTGGAACACCATATGCTGGTGAGTTCACCAAACCTAAGACCGCTGGTGATGTGGTAGAGAACACATTAACTCATTGATCACTCACCTTTGAACAAATAGATCAACCTCCAGCAGGATGATGCCTTTCTTGGTGGAGTTGGATGAGCCCTATACTGCCTTACAGCATGAACATGAAGAAGGTGGGGCCAGTGCCTTTAACAGTGGAGACGCCCATCTCAAAAATTAGTTTGTTATTGTGTCACGAAGAACGTAACAAAATTCTTAGTGTGGGTGGTTCTGGTTTTGTATGAACATTACTTAGAGACCTTTCTTGGGCAATGACTGCCTCTTTATGTCACCCTCTGTTACTTCTACCCTAAAGTGTAAATGCTGTGGCTTCAACAGCACTGGAGAGCTAAGATCATTAAGTATTAACTTGACTTGATGGGGAGCTGCTGGTAATGTTAACACAGGGATCTAGGAACATTCTCTGGGAGCTTAGGGTCAAATTCCACTACAGCTTGCTGTGTCAGCTTTATTTTCAAATGGCCATTTGGTCATGCAGACCTTGAATATTGCTGAAAAAAACTCACACATTATGTCCAAGACTTTTGTCTTCTATTCATCAGGACAATTTGCAAGAATATCATTTATGGGAGAAAGCCAACACTTGTACTGTATGAGAAGAAAGCATTGATCAGTTGACAAGTGGAGTTTGATTTATAGAAGCATTGCCCTGGAGAATGTTCCAGTCAATGATGATTGACTGTTTTGAATCTCAGATGCTTAATACGCAAGTACAGCAAATAATTAGGGAAGCTTATAAATTATTACATTTTATTGTGAGAGGATTTGAATATAAAGGTAGGAAGGTTATACTTCAGTTATAGAGGGCAGTCATAAAACCACATCTGGAGAATTTAAGGAAAGGCATGAATGCAGTTCAGAGAACGTTTACAGGCTAATACTTGGAATGAATGGACTATCTTATGAAGAAAGATTGGACAGACTGTGTTTGTATCTACTGGACGTTAGAAATAAAAGGCTTGATTTGATTGAAACATAAAATCCTGAGGGGTCTTGACTAGGTAGATGTAAAGAGGACATTTCCTTTTATAGAAGAATCTAGAATGAGTAGCCACTGTTTAAAAATCAGGAGTTGCCTCAGTAAAACAGAGATGAGGTGCTTTTTCACTCAGAGGGTTGAGAGTCATTGGAACTCTCTTCCTGAAAAGATGGTTGAAGTCTGGTCCTTGAATATTGCTCAAGAGACAAGGTGGAAAGATTCTTGTTAAACAATTGTGTGGAAGGTGGGAAAGAGGCAGTTGGGAATGTGGATTTGAAGTTATAATCTGTTCAGCTGTGAGCTTAGAGTAATATAGTCATACAGCACAGAAACAGACCCTATGGTTTGACCGGTCCATGCTGACCATAATCCAAAACTCAACGAGTCCCACTTGCCAGCATTTGGCCCATATCCCTCCAAGCACTTCTTATTCATATACTTATCCAAATGCCCTTTAAGCATTGTAACAGTACCTGCATCCACCACTTCTTTGGAAGTTCATTCCACACAAGAACAACACTGTGTAAAAAAACAAAGCTGCACATGTATTTTTAAATATTTCTCCTCTCACCCCTAGTCTCAAAATCCCCCACCCCAGGGAAAAGACACCTGCCATTCACCTTATCAATACTCCTCATGACTTTATAAACCTCTATGAGGTCACCTCTCAATCTTCTACGGTTCAGTGAAAGAAGCTGCAGCCAACCAGCCTCTCCCCATAACACAAACCCTCCATTCCCAGCAACATCTCTCCTGAAGCCTCTCCAGCTTAAAAATATACGTCCTATAACAGGGAGACCAGAACTGGACATAATACTCCAGAAGAGGCCTGACTGAAGTCCTGTACAGCCTCAACATAACGTCCCAACTCCTTCACTCAAAGGTCTGAGCAATGAAGACAAGCGTGCCAAACGCCTTCTGAACCATCCTATTTACATGTGACATAAACTTCGAGGAATTGTGTACTTGAACCCCTAGATCTCTCTTTCTACAGCACTAACCAAGGCCCTATATTTTATTGTATAAGCCCTGCCATGGTTTGTTTTATCAAAATGCAAATCTTGTATTTATTCAAATTAAGCTCCATCTGCCACTCTTCAGCCCATTGACCCCATTGATCAAGATCTCTTTGTAATCTGAGATAACCTTCTTCTTATTGAGTATTAGAGCAGACTGGAGGAGCTAAAAGGCCTATCCCTGCTCCTTGTTTTTTTATGTTCATAACTACCAAACCATTGAATTCAATTAATGAATCTGGAATCAAATGCTCATCTCAGCAGTGGTGGGCCTTACATTCTCTAATGCTATTTTTTATTATTATTTAATCATGGGATGAGGGGTGTTTCTGACTAGGCTAGCAATTATTGCCCACCCCAGAGGACAGTTAAGAGCCACCCACAATACAGTGGGTCTGGATTGGGAACGGAGTGCTGCCATCCTTCCCTTACATGTGACTCCAGACCCACAGCAATATGGTTGATTCTTAGCCACCCTCTGAAATGACTTGTCGAGCCGCTCAGTCCAAGGGCAATTAGGGTTGGGTCTTGGCAGTGAGACTCACATTCCATGAAAGAGAGAAACCAATATCTTGTGATATTAACTGAATAAAGTGTAGTAGGAACAGGAGAGTTGTTAAATTGTAAGAGATCTTTTGGTTCATTTTCCACCATCCTATTAGGCACATGTTATAACAGTGCAGTTGGTCATTGATCTTAATAATTCGGATCATAGGAAGAACGTTCATGGTGTAGGATAGCTGGTTGGAGACAGTTGTGGGAAACTGGGAAAACAGTGAAGAGCTGTGTTAGGGATGACTCCCTGCTGTTTTCCCACCAATAGGAATATATTCCAGAGGAGGACAGGAATATTGCCCACTGCCCGCTGCCCACTGATGGGATATGATAAACAATAATTAGGGGTGACTTTTCCACCTTGTGGACATTGTTCCAGCCATGGAGCACTTTCCTAGCATGTGGGAAGGTGGTCTTTTCAAGGCAATCTAGGATGGGGCAGGGAAGTCATCAGAATGGGCACCTCCAAGGAGGGTGATGCAGGCATCACACATGTTTGCAACGATTCGGAAAAAAATTTGCAGGGTGCCTATCCAATTGGAGGATCCTATCCTTTCGGCTAACAACCACTGCAGTAATAGCTCAGAGTATGCTTCTCTTCTTGGCTGTCGTCTGGGAGGATCAGGAGCTGTCCTCATTTAAAAGTAGCTCCGTCTAGTCTGGCTCATGGGAGGTAGGGGCCTAGCAGATCCATGTGGTCCCAATGCACATGGGAAAGTCCTTCCTATTGAGTGATGGAGCATAGAGGTAGCCAGTTGGCCCATCATTCCAATGTTGGCTCTTTGGGGGAGTTATCCCACACCTCTGCTCTTTTTCAATAGCCCTGTGAATTTTTTCGCTTCAGATATTTATCCAATTCTGTTTCAAATGTTATTATTGAATCAGCTCCAGGCAGTGTGCTGCGGATCACAGCAACGCAGTGTGTGTGTGTGAGTGCGTGTGTGTGTGTGCGTGCATGTGTGTTTGTGGGATCCGGCTGTGTGCAAGTTCACAGTGACA